CTCTACAGTGTCCTTTCACGAAGTTGTAGAGAGTGATGAGGTCTCCCCTCAGCCTCCTCTTCCTCAAACTAAACAGTCCCAACTCCCTCAGCTGCTCAGGACAAAGACCCTTTTAAATTCCAGAACCAGAGATGCTCTTTCAGGCTGTGACACCATTTGCCATGTTTTGGTGTGAAGCAAAGTCTTCCTTTTTTTTTTTTTTTTTTTTTTTTTTTTTTTTTGAAGTTAACTATTGCAGTCAATTACACAGGGCATATGGATAAATGAGAACATTAAATACAATGCTAAGGATATGTACTGGAAAAATAAAAGGGAAAACTTTTTCAGTGTACCTGTCAAAAAATATAGGAGTACCCACATGAGCATATCCATTAAACAAGAGAGCTGAAATATGTTTCCCTATAGCAGTTAAGGTACTATTAAGCTTATAAAACGTCAACAGTTTTTTTAAAAAAATACAAAAATAGAGAAGCAACAGAAGACCTACAAAGGAAAGACAAGGGGGGGGAGGGAGAAGGAACCAACCAACCAAACAAAAGAAACAAAACAAAACAAAAACAGAGGGGAGGGGAAAGCCTTACTGCTAGTGACCAAAAACAATCCTTGTGCAAGTACAGCAAAAAGGTATAGAGCTCAAACCTATCTTCTTGCTGGGAACTCTAGCGAGTCACAGCATGCACAGCCCTGCTCCCCAGCCAAACACATCGACCGAACAGAGATGAGCAGCACTGAAAAAAGGGAGAGAAGACATCTGAGGGTATTCACCCATTCAGACCTGATAAAGCGCCTGGTCAGGGGAGGAGGCGGCACTGGAAGCTAGGATCCACTAATATTTGCCCAGAGAAGTTCTAGCACCTCCATTTAACACAGGGAAAAGTTCTTATATTGAAAAACAGAGTCTTTGATCCATGATATTCTACCAGTTTTCTTTAGAGTGCTAGTGTCCGCAAATCGTTTTATTTTCTAACTCTTTCATTCTTCAATAAAATTTAGCAACTTCCCTTAGTAGTAGTTGAAATGACTGCTTTAATGTGCCAGGCTCATGCTCCGATTAAAAACAAGCACATAGAAAGCATGGACCGCTGAAGCATATTTCATGTTTACATGATTAGAAGAGAAGACCTTCAATCTAAGGAAGGCCACCTGACTCTTCCAGAGGAACAAAGACGACACTACAGTCCTCTTCTTAAGCATCTTTTTGGGTTCAGCAACCTTGTCTAGGGATCCAGCCTTTCCTTCTAGGGGGAACAGTATTCTGCTTCTACTTAACATCTTGAAGATGAAATGCTGAGATGCTCAGTGTTGTACTGAAAATGCACGACAACAAATCATGGAGGCACCCCTTGCACAGGAGCTAAATGTCTCTTTCCTCCTCGTTAAAGTTAGACAACTAGAAACTGTTAAATATTGAAATTGTGCATCAATAACAAGTACTCAACTTCCAGTTAGTTAGTTACCTGTGAAAGTTTATTTCAGTCCCCTTTACTTCTAGATTAAACATAAGCTCCACAGGGACTCAAGCTCTGCTAAAAAGGATTGAAGTAACAGGCAGAAAAACAGAAAAAAGGGATTCAAGAGAGCAAACATTGAGCCTGAATTCTATGGTGCAGAAATAAGAGTATCTCATCTAAAAAGAGTATGGAACTACAATCAACTTCTCCCTTCAATTAAGTTTATAGCTATAGGAAATGAGTGCAAACCCCTCAAATTACAAACTTTATTCTAGATTAAGAACTAAAAAAGAGCAAGTGAATCTGCTAAGCAACAGTAATTTTGCACAAGTCCCTATTTGGAACATAGCTATACTTTATCAGTGCTATGATTCAAATTATAGTATTATATTCTCTGGTTTATTAAAAAGTGAAAAGAAAGTCACTTGGGTCATGCATCACATTAGCAGTATTAAACAAAACAAATAATAATAAAAAATAAATAAAAAACCACCATCAAAAAAACCCCACAACACTAAATGCTGCAATATCATTTGCACCTTTACTTTTCATCCAAGACTGGTCATTCCAAAGCGAGAAAACTTTTGTCAGAAAAGAAATTCTATGAACTATCCCTTTCAGCATAGGGTCTACTCCCATTTTTACAGATGCAACGGAATTACCCCATTTATGTTAAGATGTTCCTTTTTTAAACATAGTGAAACGAAATGAGTGCTTTGAAATCACTCAGGCACAGCAGAATTCTGCAGACAATTTTCTAATTAGGAGCTTGGTACTGAGCTTTTCCAATCTAGAAGTTTGCCACTGAAATTCTTAAACATATACAATTTTTGGAAGCCACATATATAGAAAATTCTTTTTTCAGCATGCAAACCACCCTGAGTATCTAGAAAATGCACATCTGGAATCAGAACAGGACTGAGTGTCAACAGTAGGACAATGTTTCTTGCTTCACCCTCAACTATATTCATAAAATGATCTAAACAACCACAGAAAACTCTCTTAAAAGCACAAAGTTGAGAGACCACATTCACACATCTAAAACAATATTGGACAAGTGACTCAGGAATTCCTAAAAATGGTGCTCATAGCTACCTATCTCCATCCTTCTGCCCAGTATTTCATTACTTATTGTATCAGTTTACACTCATTCTAGTAACATCTCTCTCCAAAACCTGGCAATCTACATTATTTACCTAACAGGTAATCCTTATGATCAGACCTTACAACCTTCTGAGTGGCAGACAAAGCATTTACCAGCCTTCTCTGAATGGGAGGAGGGAAGAGCGGGGGCTGGACTGGGGGAGTCGTGGTGGTGTATGCCCCAAAGGTATATGTAGCTTTTCAGATCGATCACCATCAGCTACATTGCTTGATGAGAACAAAAGAATGTTTACCTCAAAAAGCTCTGAAAAGAAAATCACCACCTTTCTATCCAAAGAATTAAAACTGCTGGATAGTAAGAAACCTCCTCAGTTCAGGCTCACTTTGGAATTTGTCTTTAAGCCTCTGCCACCCAGAGCAGAGCTGACCCTTGATGAGTTCATAGAACTACCAGAACTAGCCACCTTGCAATATCTACAGTTACTTTAACACTGACAGCCTTTATTATTTGCCCTTTGCCCCCTAAGAGTTTGATGGCTTCTCTTACCACAACTAGGGTCAAGGGACATCTCAGAATCAGGAAAGAGGTGATACTGGTTTCTTATTT